CCGTGCCCGGCGGAGCCCGTCTCCAGTCCGCCCCGGGACCGTTTCTATCCTCGGGCTGGCCCAGAGCCGCCTGCACCGGTGGGGTTCGGGCCCACGCCCCAGCGTGTGGGAGCACGTGCTGCAGAGCCTGCTCTGTGCCACCATACCGGCCCCGAGCCCCCAGCAGCGCTGCAGAGAGGGACGCTGGTGCTGGGCCTTCTCTAGAGCACGCAGGACGCCAAAAAAAAATGGGCAGCTTTGCCTGGGAGACGCAGCGACTCACGCCAAAGGCATCTCGGCTCATCACAAGGAGCACAGACGCTGCTCAGAGTGAGCAGCATTTGGGAACACGAAGCACCCGCCAGTCAGCTGGATTGTAAAACCCCAGGCCACGTCGGAAGTTAGATCCTGCTCATGCTGGATCAGGAATCAGCACAGGGGAATTGAGCACGGTACCGACAAAAGCTCAAGTCTGCACCAAGCAGATGGGGCCTCGCTCCCACCTGCAGCCTGTGAATTCAACCTCTCAGAGCTGGAAGCTGCTCTGAAATCCCATCGCTGCTCCCTGGACAGCAGCTCTCTGCTTTCTTAATTAAAACTGTCAAACACCGCTGCGCAAGCCTCCCACTGAATCCCCTTTACTCAGGCCTGGCTGTGGCTGGTCTCCCTCCTGTTGCCGCCTCCTGGCAGGCAGAAGCTCTGCCCACCGGCATGGGCACAGGCAGGCTGAAGGGTAAGGAAGGGCTCCCAGCCGGCATTGCCAGTTATTTCCTCTCAGGGCTTCTTGCTGGCTGCCTGTACTGCCATGTTGCTCATCAGCTTTAATGAGCTGTTCCAAAACCCAGCTTTTATGGCACAGGGAAGAGAAAATGCTGCTAAACGGCAGCCTCTGCATTTCATGAGACATCGGGCTGCAGGTGGGTGGATGTCAGCTCACTCCCCTGCGAGTGGGGCGAAGACTCCCTCCGCCTGCAAACAGCAGCTTTCCTGGTAAGCACAGGCTTCCTGCCAGCCCCACCAAGCACAGACCCTCCTGCAGCTCAGCCCTGCCCTGCCGCCCCAATCCAGCAAAGCAGCAGGTTGAAATGGCCAGACCGAACCTGGAAGGGCCTCAGACTCCCTTCAGATCAGGCTAGAAGGTGCGCAATGCCTAATCCATCCCTGTCCCACAGCTGCCGGGGAGCGAGGAGAAGCCCACCATCACCAAGGGGAACCCCAGGGGGTGAAGAAGGCGACTCCTTGCCTCCCGTCTGGGACCTCCTGCTGCCTACATGGGGAGACAGCCTGTGCTGAGCCCAGCATCCCCATGACTCTGGGGCTCACAGCCAGCCGACCTTCAGGACAGGAAGGAAATGAGGGAACGGGCAGGTGTTCTTCCGCTGCGGCAGGACGGGACAGGGTATCAGGGCTGAGATCTTCCCGGGAGGAAGGCTCCACCCTGGGGCCTCAGCTACCAGGGAGGGGGGAGCAGCAAAGCCAACAGGGAGCAGAAAGTGTTTCACCAACAATAAGCCACAACTTTTATTAATTGATAGAAATAGTACAAATTTTAAATTTAGTTGCATTTTACTCTTCTCTGAAACACCAAAAAAGGCTCCTCCCTCTGGCAGCTACATCGTCAACTCCTGCAGAGAGAAAGGCATGTTAGGAGCCAGCCTTGCCAGCAGCACGGAGCCCCACAGCGCCGGTCTCCAACACGTACAGGGATCCAGTACTATAGCTGCAGGCAAGAGGCACGTCCCTCTGCTCATGGCCCCAAGCTCACACCCTACTTGCAGCAGCAGGGAACTACGCGCTGCACGTCTTCCCCCATCACAAACTGTTCTCCCTCTTCCCCGGGCGCCAGGCTGCCCAGCCATGCAGACACTCACCATTATAGCATTTACAATATCGTTACTGTTGTTCTTCAGGGCACGGACTGCCTTTGCTCGGGACACGTTCGCCTGGGACATCACCAGCTCAATGTCTTTCACCTCGACGCCGGTTTCGTCAACCTAAAGAAGACAGAGCCCAGGATTCATGCTAGCCCGATGCATGGTTTGCTCCGTGCCTGACAGAGTAAAACAGGATTGTCTGGATTGGGGCAGCTCCCACTCAGGCCACAGAAATGGAAGCTGGGAGGCAAGACCGGGCACTGCCCATCTGTGGGGACTGTCCCCTGGCAGTGCCTGGGACCAGATCCTCCAGGGGAAGGACCATGCACTCTCCCTTTGCCATCACAGTGAAGACATGGATGAAGGAAAGAAAACCACGGGTCTTAACACAAACCCTATATGCTTTGCGGCTGGCTCAGGTCCACCATGAAGTGCCCAGCCCCTAAGGCATACCTCTTCTTCCTCACTCTCCTCCTGCACGGTGGGGGTCTGTGTGTTTTCTTGGATGTTTGAAACAGCTTCTCCTTGCACTTTGAACTTTTCAGCAGCTGCCAGCTGGGCCTGCTGGGACAGGTCTTCGATCTGGAGGAGGGAAGAAGCGTAAGTGAGGCCAGCCCTGCGCAAAGTGGGTATCAGCACACAGGCTCAGAGGGACGCAGCTGTGCTCCTCATGCTGCAGCAGTGCCAGCACATCAAATGGCTCTGCCGCACAACCCAGCCCTCGGCGTGGGCCCCCAAGCCTACCCACATCCCTCGGGGGGACACACAGCAGCTGGGACCCGCTGGTGGCAGCCACAGCACACAGGTGGCAAGGAGGAACCCCCACTAAGTGTCCTGCCGCCCTGCTGCTGCAAGCATCGATTAACACAGCTGCCAGATGCTACATGGTGAGCTCACCTTCGCTTCGCCAAAAACTATGTAGGTGTCTGATGCTGGGCTCTTGTACACGTCTGGCTTTGTGATGACAAAGAGGATGTTCTTTGATTTCCGGATGGTGACTCTGGTTACTCCTGTCACCTGGCGAAGGCCCAATTTAGACATTGCCTGAAAAACACGAGAGAAAGGTAGTGAGGAAAAGAAGAGTTACTGCAACAGCCCAGCCCGTAACAAGATGCGTCCACCCATCTACTCTCCAGAGACCCGCATCCAGTGATTGGTGCGCTGGTGCAAACGAAAATGTGCTTTTTACCGCTGCAGAGAAGCATTCCTGGGGTTTTAGCCTGACACTGCACTGGGAGCCTGGGAGGGAACTCTCTACGCCCAGGACTGGCGAGATCCATAGCACGACCCCGAGCCCCTCCAGACACAAGGATTTTGCCCATGAAGGGGGCATCTGCCTGCCTGGGGGCCTGACAAGGGCAGAAAGTCGCACAAACCTCTCACAGCTCCCAAACGCCCGGCTGCTGCTGCACTGGGGCAGGAGGTGAGGAGCTGCAGCCCTGAACACAGTTCATGAGGCAAAGACCCCAGCACTCATGAATACCGTGCCAGACCCTGGGGCAAAGCTTTGCTGTCCACAGGCAGGCTGTTTGCTGCACACAGGTTTGGTCCATCCACCATCCCACCTCACCTTCCGTGCTTTCTTTTCACTCCGGCTCTGTTTTGCTTTGCTAACGGGTTCTTCATCTATTTCAGCTGCTGCTGCAAGCTGCAAGGAGAGAAAACAAGAGGGATCCATGACAATCCCGAGGCAGCAGTGGACACTACCAGCAGGGACCCTCCTCTGCCGCTGCTGGGAGCAGGGACGTGCCCGGTATGTGCTGCCTGCCCTACCTGTGCCTGCTGTGTTGTGGCCTGTGTGGAGTCTTGCTCTTCGAGCTCTGGTACAGATTCATCACTGTCAGACTCTGTTCCGGACCCTACAGAAACAAACCCACGTCACTCTTTCAAAAAGGTCCAGGGGACACAGCAAGATCGAAGAACCATACTGCTTTGGTGTAGCCTGTGCTGCTGGGGGTTCTGAGTACCGACACGGTTTCCAGTCAGCGTGATTAAGCAGTATCTGGTGGAAGGAGTGCGCTCTGTAACCCCAAACACCATCAGCACTCTCACCATGGTGGAAGCCAGGTGCTGGAGCACCATAGGTGCCTGGAGGCTGGCTCCAGAAGGCCGAGTCCCCCAGAGGCAGCCCCAGCCTGAGTTGCTCCCCCAGTTTGAGGCACCACGCTGGCCAGCGTGGCAGGAGTGGCTCGAGGAGTGCAGGGTAGCACTCCCTGGGCAGCGAGCCAGCAGCAGCCCAGCGCTGACAGGGACTCCCTCAGTTCCCCTCAAATATGTTCAGGCAGCAGTGAAGCTCAGGTTGCAGAGCTCAGCCACAGAGCACGGAAACAAGACACAATTTACTGAGTCCTCAGGGCTGCTGCACCTTTCCGTGACTTCACTACAGAGGATGATTCCCAATTACCTCGAGAACCCCCACCAGGGAACAGCATCTTTGGATGCTCAGGTTGGCCTCTGGGCCAGGTCCTGAAAACTGCCAGAGCCAGGGAGGCTCAGAGGGCTGCCAGCTCCTGCGCCACCGCTGCAGTACCACGATTAGCTTACAAACCACAGTACAGCCGTGTCTGACCACGCAGCAGTGAACAAAGCAGAGCCGGGCATCTCCAGCCTTGGAGGAGGCTGGAGAATGACCACAACACTCTCTCATGCAGCCATTACCTGAATTCAGTCCTGTTTCCTTTCCTAGAAAGGGCCTCTTGCCCACACTGAGCATGCAAGAGCCCTCAGCCAAGGTCTCTGCAGGCTGTGGGTGTGAGCCCGGGGGATCCCGACAGCTCAGGCAGGCAAAGGAGTTTCCCTAGAGCATGGGGTCAGGCCTGTTTTGGCACTAGCACTGCCCGCAGCTCCCCTCCCCTGGTGGATAGACACGGGGAAAACCATGGTGGACACCAGACACACACAACAGGGTACAGGCATGTGGCAGCTCTTCCCAGAGTCTCAATGTGAAGGCAGCTCAGGCAACAGTCGCAGCACCCACGGCACAAGCCA